CGTGAGTACTTTTAGGTTCTGACTTCAGGTCCTGAGTCTCCCCTTTGGGCTGAGATTTTGCATTTCTATTATAACTGACAATAGCGATCCATATCTTCTTGTTACTTCCGAAGCATGAGTGTGCGTGTCTGTCCCTGTGAGCACGGGTGTTTGTTTATCCAGCTGATACGTGAAGCTCTGGGACATGGAGAACAGTGCCACTCATTAACTTGGCATTAGCAATCAGTCTAAGCAGGACTCTTGAGAACATCTCATTGTCCGTGGCTCAAAAAAAAATCTAATGTGCTGTTAACCGAGCACAGGTGCTTCAGAGGTGTCTGGATTTCTGAAGATAAGTTTATCAAGTCAAATCCTAAATCTTACGCGGTGCCCTGTTAGGCCACAACAGTTAGCTTTTCGCAGGATTTTGGAGGGAAAAATTCTGTTTGAAGTAGAAAACAACTGCTAAGGAATAGTAATGCATTTTTAAAAAACAAAACCCCAAACAACTGCTTGGTGCTCACAGAAACCAACACCTTAGGTCTGGTGTTGGAGATGGGAATTTCCCTGAGATGCACGATGCTCTGTGGCTGCCTGCAGCAGGGAGGGTGTGTGGTACCGCAGGCAGCTGTTTGTTAGCGGCGCTCTGCGCTCGCCCTGTTCTGCGGGCTGCTGCTGCCTGTCTCAATTTGGGGAACAGGGAAAGGAGAAGAATTCTCCTTCTGAAATCGTGGTGTAGCTGATGGTTTGTGGATGCCATGGATTTTGAATGTGAAGGGAAAGTCGTTTCCCTGCTATTACCAAATGGATCAGAGGCTCTCCTGGTTGAACTGTCCCCTTCCTTCCCTTCTCTGCCAAGCTCCCTGCAGCACCAGCTGCAAACACTTACTTGTTTCCCCGCCTGAAGGCGAGAGGTGTCTCCAGCAGCTGTTGCAGGTGACGAAGGAGCAGAGCCAGCACTTCCACACAAAATGGAGCTGGCAGAGCAGAGCCAGCTGTCAGCAGCTCCCAGCACAGCAGCCTCTGGCAGTGAGACGCCTGCCTTTGACTTAAAGTGCTGTTACACTGTTCCTTTACCTCTGCCAGCCCCCTAAAAAAGATGGTGAGGGCCTGATGCGGGTGGATTGTGAAGAGGGGAAGGTTATTTAGGCTGCTAAGGTGGGGTCCTTATCCTGAGCAGTGAGCTGCTGCCCTCTGGTTTTGTGCAAAGAGAGAAAAGTATTGCTTTCTGGTAGGATAGGAGGTCCCAAGCGCACGTCGGTAAGTGTGAAGGCTGAGCTGGAATTGCTGGCAGCAGCAGAATTGGACTGGTTGATCTGGAAATCTCCTCCCCCTCTCTGAAGCGCCTGCTGTAAGTTAACGGCCACCTCCCCTGGGGCCCATGAACAGTCACTCTTTGCCTTTGCTTTTGCAGTGACCAGGTGATGGATGAGTTCTTGAACTGCGCTAAACAAACCAACTGCCCAGACGAGGCAATTAAGCTGGTGAAGCTGGCAGCGTCCCTCGGTCTTCCTTCATCTCAAAGGCTTAAAAGCAGAACGGAGAAGGAATTTGAACTCTCTGAAAAGCAGAAGTAAGTTGGAGTACTTCGCGTTACTGCTGAAGGGGTGTAGAAGACAGGGTGTTTGTTGGAGGGGGTAACTCCCGCGGAAAGGCTTCCCCGCCAAGGTGGCAGAGAACTGGCTTCAGAATGACCTGCCTTTGTGGTGCTTCTGGTCGATTCCCACCCCCAAAATGGCCCCTCAGTTTTTGATCCCGTGCTGTATCCATCCCACCTAGGAGGGAAGGTAACTTTCCATGATGGGGTTAGCCTTTATCCACTGCTCGCATCTGCTCTCACCTTTCTTTCCCAGAATCTCCTTCCTAGCTGGGTCCGGCCACCTAAGACACCGATTGCAGGGTAGTAAAAGCAGGGAAGTGGTTCAGATGGCCCTGCATGTGGCTCACAGGTTCTGAGGCTCACGGTCAGTATGTCTCACTAGCCACCGTGGCTCGTTGCTGAACTGATGCAGCCAAGCTCAGATGATGGGCTTAGCCTTGAGGACCACAGTTTGGAGCCAGTGGTCTGGTCCAAGGGAATGAATAAATAGAAGTCCAGCGCCCCTGACGGGTGGACATCACTTTCTGGGTAACCGAAGTAGTCTGCTTTTCCAACAGGAGGTGGGTGTGCTTCCACCAAACGCTGGCTGGACCTGTCCTTTGAGGATAATAGGCATCAGGCAGCCCATAATGTTCCCTTTGGACAAGAAGAAACGGCCTCAAGCTGTGCCAGGGGAGGTTTAGGTTGGATATTAGGAAAAACTTCTTCACCAAAAGGGTGGTCAAGCATTGGCACAGGCTGCCCAGGGCAGGGGCTGAGTCCCCATCCCTGGAGGGATTTAAGAGCGGGGTAGACGTGGTGCTTAGGGACAGGGTGTAGTGGTGGCCTTGGCAGCGCTGGGTTAACGGTTGGACTCGATGAGCTTAAAGGTCTTTTCCAACCTTAACGATTCTATGATTCTTTGGAGGGGGGGTTACCCTGTGTTTTGGATCTCTCTTCTCAAGCAAAAGTCACGACAGGTGACTGATTACGGGACTGTTTTACATCTGCAGGAAGACGCTGGAGAGTATCAAATCGGACAGCGACAGCAGCGATAGTGACAGCGACAGTGATAGTGACCGTGACTAGCTGTCCCTCCCGCCTTCCGTGGGAAAACTGGGCACAGCTGCTGCCTTGACGCCAGGAGGGTTGTGTCAGAGCTGACATCACCGAAGGGACGGCTTCTGCGAGGTGCTGCAGCACTGCTGAGCACCCCGAGCGTTCCGATACGGGTCCTGCTTGGCAAGAGCACGTTGTCCTCGTCGGAGCAAGCTAGCAGCTCTCCTGTTTCACCTTCTTGGTACCTTCAAACACCGCCTGGGCTGCCCCAGCACAGTCTCCTCCACAGCGCTGCCTGCACTGGCTAGCTCCCGCCAGGCAGCTGTGGCCTGCTTCGCCAGCTTGGCTCAGGTGCTGGAGGGCCGCAGTGAGAGGAGTGCTGCTTCCTGGAGGCTGCTCAGCGGGTACAAGACATCGACAGCTTGAGCAAGACTTCTCTTGGACGTTCTGCAACGTAAACCTGTGCCAGATTTAATTCCTTTCCAGCTAACTTTAGTGAACGACTTAATTATGAAGCTTGCTCTGTATGTAAACACTGTGGGTAATGCAATACTCGTCACCTGTGGTGTTATTCCTCATCCTTTTTGGTGTTTTGGGACAGGCTGTGGCCTGTGGATGTTAAAAACCCTACAATTTGTACAGCTGGAGACTGCATCTAATAAACAGCTGACAGCAAACACGGCTGTGTTCTGATAATCCCTGCGCAGAAACTGGTGATTACAAAGTGTTGCTGCTGTCCTGTGAGAGTAAGTAAAGTTCCCGCAGAACACAGCAGTAAAGCTCAGAGGTGACTGCCTGGGAGGACAGGCTGCGCTGTTCCCTTCTCTGCCCTGCAGTTCGCCGGCCCTCACAGCATTGTGCTGCTGGTCTCAGCTTGCAGAGGAAGCTTGACCGTTTTTTTTGAGGTAGTTATCTTGAAGAGGCAAAGGTGGTCTCGTTCCTGTGAGGATTAAACCATATCCTAGTGAAAAGTAGTTAACAGACGATTCTCTTTCTTTGTGAAAAATAAAACCTTGATGTGCGTGATGCTGCAGGACAAGCAAGAGCGCCCTGCTGTGGGAGGCAGCTGAAGGATAATTCAGCAGTGAGTTTGGGAAACAACAGCTGCTACAGGTAGAACAAACTACAGCTGGAAGGCCAGAAGTCCAGTGTTCCTGACAGTACAGGAGCAGGCAGTAAAGCTGCCTGGAGGCAGCGTCTGCTCCAGAGAGCAAATGTGCCTGTTCTGGGCACATCCGACAGCACGGGGGTAGCTCAAAGATAAAGGGCTGTCAGAGGTGGTGGTGCGCTCTTGGCTTTATCGCACCGACCATTTAAAACTGGATCAGCAAGGAGCCCAAGCTCCAGTTACTCCTTTCGGCCAGTAAGTAAGTTTGCTCCACCTGTCTTCGCTGTTGGTAAGAATTAAGGGAAAGGTAAGAGAAGGCAGGAGCTTGGGCTTTGTGCGAGTTCTCGTGGTTGAGCCAAAATCTGGCTTCTAGGAAGAACTACTTCATCTTAGAATCATCAAGGTTGGAAAAGACCCTTAAGATCAAGTCCAACCGTTAACCCAGCACTGCCAAGTCCATGTCCTCAAGCACCGTATCTGTCCGTTCTTTAACCACCTCCAGGGATGGAGACTCAGCCACTTCCCCAGGCAGCCTGTGCCAGGGCCTGACTGCCCTTTCAGGGAAGAAGTTTTTCCTAATATCCAACCTAAACTTCCCCTGGCGCAGCTTGAGGCCGTTTCCTCTCGTCCTATCGCTTGTTACTGGGGAGAAGAGACCGACCCCCACCTCGCTACAACCTCCTGTCAGGCAGTTGTAGAGAGCGATAAGGTCTCCCCTCAGCCTCCTCTTCTCCAGGCTGAGCACCCCCAGCTCCCTCAGCCGCTCCTCACCAGACTTGTGCTCCAGACCCTTCACCAGCTTCGTTGCCCTTCTCTGGCCACGCTCCAGCACCTCGATGTCCTTCTTGTAGTGAGGGGCCCAGCACTGAACACAGGACTCGAGGTGCGGCCTCAGCAGTGCCCAGTACAGGGGCACCATCACCTCCCTGGTCCTGCTGGCCACACTATTCCTCATACAAGCCAGGATGCCATTGAATGCCATCTTCTAAAACTACAGAAGAGCAGGTCTGACAAGAAGAAAGATGCAGGGGTAGAAGTCCACCACAATACGTGCTCTGGCACCAGCTTAAGTTACCTGTACTGAAACCTGTACTCAGACATGGGTTTTCTTTTGCAGCGGTACAAATTAATGAGTAGCCACATTGACCACATCAATGAATTCTTGCTCCTCAAAAGGAGTAAAACCAGAGATAAGTTCTAACTTCTCCAGGTCATGGAGAAAGGCTGGTCTTCTGCTGTTGAGTCTCCTATTTAAACATCACGTACAGCACGAGAAAATGGTTGAAGTCTTGTTTTATTCAGCTGACAGAGTGGCAAATCATGGAGGGTAGGTTACAAACATTATTTTGGTTGGATCACAAGCCTGCTTGGTAAGATGGGGAAACAAAATTCTTACACAAATTGTAGAGAAGCTTCCTGAAGTTGGTTGTCATGATAACTCAAACCCGATACAAATAAAACAGGTGGTAAAGTTAAATACAGTGCAAGGAAACAAGACGGTACCCGTGCTTTGATTTAACGCTTCCAGCCCCTGCCAGCGGCTTCGTTTGCAACCCTTAGGAGATGGCCGGCTTGCTTTCCGGCACAAACGACTGCTGAGCTGCCTCCGGAACGACAACCCTAGCTCACTGCACTTGCGTTGTTCCTAACCCCACGGCACTGGCGTACGCTGTCAAGATATCCACGATTTGTTTTGTTTCTAGGGTCATTCGAGCTTCGGTCAGCCAGTCGTGTGCCACTCTCCTGGACTCGCCTCTTAACTGGTTGACAAATTTAGCTGCCAGCTCCAGGTCGCCGTGTTCAATGCAGTACGAAGCGTAAGACAGTAATTTAAACGTGTCGAGGTCGTCGGGGCTGAGCTCAGCAGGCGGCTTCAGCTGTTGAGGGTGAAACACAAGCAGCGACTGCAGGTAAGAGAGGAAGTATTGATACAAGCTGTTTCGCGTTTCGTCGATCATAGCCACTCTTTTTGCCAGTTTTTGGACCGTGTAGAAGCGCGCTCTGAGGGCCTCCTCGCTGTATATGCCCCGCGTCAGGGACTCCTGAGGCAGAGCTGCTGTTAAGGCTTCTGTAAAGGCGTTGTCAGAGCAGCTGGCTTTGATGGCCTGCACCGCGCTCTCCAGGGGTTCTGTGGGACTGTCCCCCGAGGCTGTTTTCATGCAATATTTGAGTGCTTCAACAGAAAGCCACAGCTGATGGGCTTTTCTGGCTTCCTCTTCTGCTACTGCGTGACCTGCAAAATAAGCCAAGAAGGGGACTCTCAGGCAGTTTGGAACACAAGCAGCAAAAGCCATGCCTCTAAGCACCCCGCTTTCAAAAGCGGCCGCCCCCTCGGCATTTGACCTCAAAGCACGTCTGTTCTGCAATTTCGGGTCAGAACAAGACGACAGCTGTGGGCTCGCGCGGCTGGGGGTTGCTGGGTGCTCAGCAGCGCGGCAAACCCGGGCCCAGGAGCTACGTGCCTAAGCCTGGGTTTAGGCACCCAGGTTTGGGTAACGGGCCTTTGGGGATCACGCCTTTAATCCTTAACGAAACGCGATTTCAGTGCTCACTCTCAACTGCTTGCTCGATTCCTTTCAGCCTGGCGTAGGCAGTGTTGATATCCAACGTGAAGTTGTCGAGCTGTTCCTGAGTGAGGCGCCTGAATTGCATTTCTTGTTCACTGAGTTTCTCCGATAAGTTCTGAAACAGAGCGAGATACATCTAATCGGACCAGAAACAGCTGTTTGATTATATTTACCTCATTTTTAAAATACGTTTCTATAAATCTGTTGTTCTTGCTAGGGACAATGCATATAGTAAATACATTATACCAGTAAGAATCCTTATTAGGGCGAATTTAACAGTTACTGTACTTGTAACTGTCAAAAATCTCTCACCTATAGCAAAAGCTCTTAAGACAAGTCAGAATAAAACCTACACGTTCAGGCACTTCATCTCTTCAGGATGAGCAGGCTTCCCTCCCCAGCCCGCATTTCAGTCTCCTGGAAGATGGTTCAGACTCTCCTCCCGTGAAGGGCGTGCTTCGCAAGGCTTCAAATATCCCTGATTCCCTCAGGGACTCTTCTCCCTTACCTGCTCAAATTCCACCTTCAGTTCCTGCTCCTGGATCTTAAGAACGTCTCTGAGATGGTCTGTGTGGGCGGCAGCCTGCCGCCGGAGCTGGGTCCTCATCTCGCTCTCCATCACCTCGCGGACTTCTTCAACCTGCACACACACGAGCGGGTGTTATTACACCGCTATTTCCAACTGCTTGTCACGAGCTATAGGATTCTCTCATCCATCAGCGATTACCTAGCGTACATTTTATAAAAGTGGCATTGACAGAGCCCATGTTTCATCTTAAAAAGCTGCCACGGTCCGTTTTTACAGCTGAGCCTTTTCCAAAAGACGTTAAAGAGTAGCTTCACAGTCCACAATGCCTGTAACGGGTGGTTATACTCGCTGGGCAAGTAGTGCAGTTACCAAAATATTATAGAAAAAAATACAGTAACACGTCAAACTCAACACTCCGGTGTTTATAAACCAGTTTCCAAATAAAACGTATTTTACCTTCCCTACCTCC